GTGAGGACCCCAGAGTACTGCCCTGGAGCCTGTGAGTAGGCCAAGCCCCTGAGTATTTCAGTCATACTGTGGGTGGTAGAGACCCTGTTAAAAAGGGTCTTCTTTGAAGTATTAATGTGATTAAGTAATATTTTTATGAGAAGCTAGCATATGCTTTTTACTGTTTAGAAATTACTCCTTTGATGTTTTATTCATTTTGATTGTGGTAGTAGATAATGAAACTTGTAAAGCTCACACAGTAAGGTCCTGAAGAGAGAAAGACCGAATAAGAAGGGACAAAGAATAAGGGTAGCAGGGGGACCCTGAAACCAGTCCCTGAGTTTTAGACTCTCATCTGATTACAAAGCAGATAAATCCACAAGGGAACAAAAATCCCTGAAATGTAAGTGAGGTGTAATAGTGAAAGCTCCGCTGTGGCTTCAGTCAGTTTTTCTCACGTTAGAGTACTGGCTTCAGAGCAGGGAGGCTGGTTCATTAAGTCTCGGTCAGAGTCACATGTTCTAGTTCATATCCATAATCTGAAGAGAATGAAAACAAAAGATAAAAATAAATATCTGGGGAGAAATAATTGCTTCTCATCTTGGTAGTCTCCCCAAAATAGATAAATAAAATATAGATAAAGATCGAAAATAAAAAATAAATAAAAATTTTTACACTAAAGGAATTTGAGGATCCTTCATTGAATAAGGCATCGTGTTCAGCCTATACATTCTGAGCAACATGACTTGTTGGCTAAAACCTTTATAATAAAGACCTTGAACATCATTCAGTCTTATGTTAAAGACACCTTTGTAAATTAATGCATCATGGGTTAACATGCTCTAACACGGTTATCACTGTGCATCTTTTTTAATGTAAAATGCAGTATAGGATAGTCCAGATCCTCCCAAAGGGAAAAACTTGAGTAGGAAAATGCAAACTTGGTGTTAGTGCACTAGAAACTTGTCCAATGACATTGGTTTCCATTGTGTATGAAAATTTGTACATGATTATTTTTCTTCATTTTGCCCTTATTTCCAAAAATATTTATTCTTTTTTTCCCCCCTCAAGTAGGGTCTGATTAGTTTAGACAAGATACTATCTCTGTGAAACACCATTGTGCTTTGGATTTAAGTTAATTATACTGCCCTTTAAATAAAAATTAGGGAAGTGGTCACTAAAAAACAAAAACTAGGTAAATAATTATCATTTCTGTCTGCCTTGGACACTGAACGCTGTGTTCTCTATAATGAACGACATGACGATTTGTGCGTTTATCCTTGTTACCTTAGATTCTGCTACAAGAATTCGATACTCGGAAACCTCAGTATGAACAGCTCACGGCAGCTGGTCGGGGCATTCTCAGCAGGCCCGGAGAAGACCCTTCTTTACATGGGATTGTGAAGGAGCAACTGGCAGCTGTGACCCAAAAATGGGATAGCCTCACAGGACAATTGAGTGACAGATGTGACTGGATTGACCAAGCCATTGTTAAAAGCACCCAGTATCAAAGCCTGCTGAGAAGCCTTTCCGACAAACTGAGTGACTTGGATAATAAACTTAGCAGCAGTCTGGCCGTGAGCTCACAGCCCAATGCTATGAACCAGCAGCTGGAAACAGCCCAGAAACTGAAGCAGGAGATAGAGCAGGAAAGGAAGCAGATACAAGTGGCCCGGGCGCTCTGTGACGATTTGTCCGCACTGGTGAAAGAAGAATATTTGAAAGCAGAACTTAGCAGGCAACTAGATGGCATCTCAAAATCATTTAAAGATATTGAACAAAAAGCAGGTTTGTCTCCTTTTAGTACCTGTATATTTCCTGGTCAGAAGCAGATACATGGCCTATTTTTAAGCTGTTGCCAATAATGCAGGACCCTAAGGAAAGTCTGCCTGATTGAGAACATAAATGAGAAGGAGGCTGAATATCACGCCCAGAGGGCCGCAGTGTGTTCATAGCACACTGTGGCAGGGTCATTCTGTATGGGTAACAGAGAATGGGCTGTTGGCAAAATCTACTTAATGAAGTCTCATTGAAATTTCGGATATCCCAAATGGGTTTTTAAAAGATGGAATCATTTTCATAGTGTGACATAGTCTTAATTTTGCCAGAAAAAAAAAAAATCCAGAGAAATAGTTATTAAAAAGGTTTTGTATCCTTGTATCATCTGATTTACTTTAACTGTTGTCATAGAAAACTCATCTAGAGAAACGCGTAAAAGAGGAGCATCTGACACTGTTTTCCTCGCTCTCCTGCTGCCACCGTAGTTCTGGGGCAGATATGCTGATGTTTGTCAGATGCAGCGATACTGAGTTATTAGAATTCAGAAAGACCTGACCGGGAAAGACGCATTTCGTAGCTCTGTATGTTCTGTTTGAAAAGTAACACTAGTGTCTAGGCCATGTACCTCATAAATATTCAGTTTATGTTTTTTAATTGGTTTGATTTATTTATTGATCACAGCACCCATTTCATACCTACCGCTTCATTTAATATGATATTGATAATAAAGACCTATTGGCTATTATCTTTTTTTTTTTTTTGAGACAGAGTCTTACTCTGTTGCTCCAGGCAGAGTACCGTGGCATCACAGCTCACAGCAACCTCAAACTCTTGGGCTCAAGTGATCCTCTTGCCTCAGTTTTCCTATTTTTAGTAGAGATAGTATCTAGAACTCCTGAGCTCAAGCAGTCTACCTGCCTTGGCCTCCAGCATGCTGGCATTGTAGGTGTGAGTCACCGCACCTGGCCTGTCACTCTTAGTCTTACTTAATATGAACACTTATGTGTGATAGACCGTCAACTAAGAACTTTTCATTTAATCCTCACAACGGCTACTGTTAATATTGCCAATTTATAGTTGCAGAAATGAGGCGTAGAGGTTTAGTCATTTGCCTGGGGGCTTGCAGCTCTGCAGTTCTTACAGGCTACGTTATGTTGGCTCTATGATATGTAAAGTCACGGAAGTGAAAAAGTCCTATGTGATAAGAGATGGATTATTTATTAACATAGCCAAGGACTTCATAATTGTCACTCCCCAGTACTGGAATGAAAAAGACACTCCCAGAGCACGTGCTGCGTGGTGTGGCTGCACCCTTCACCTTTGTGTATTTTTTACAAATTTCCACAATCTTTGATTTCCCCCCTCATCATGCCTGCTTCTTGCTTCTCTCCCCCCTTGATCAATGACTTCAGTTCACTTGTTGTTCTTACAATGCTAAGAGCCTTTGCTTTTAGATAATTCCATATGTTCTTTCAGAGATTTTTCTTTTGGCTTTTCACAGATTAGGTTAATATTTTGATATAAAAAAACCTGTCTGTAATCTTATTTTCAGAGAATCATGTCCAGCACCTTCAGTCAGCCTGTGCAAGCTCTCACCAATTTCAGGAGATGTCTAGAGATTTTCAGGCTTGGCTGGATACCAAGAAAGAAGAGCAAAACAGGTCTCATCCAATATCAGCCAAACTCGATGTCTTAGAATCATTAATTAAAGATCAGAAAGACTTCAGTAAAACTCTGACTGCCGAGTCTAATATTTATGGAAAAACCATTGCAGAAGGTGAAAATCTGTTATTAAAAACACAAGGGCCTGAGAAGGCAGCCTTACAATTACAGCTTAACACTATTAAAACCAATTGGGATGGATTTAATAAGCAGGTGAAAGAAAGAGAAGACAAGTTAAAAGATGCACTGGAAAAAGCCCTCAAGTATAAAGAGCACGTGGAGACTCTTCGGCCGTGGATAGGGAAATGTCAGAATGACCTGGAGGAAGTAAAACCTTGCTTGGATCCTGCGGAAACTGAGAATTCTATTGCCAAATTAAAGTCTCTGCAGAAGGAAATGGACCAGCACTTCGGTATGGTAGAATTACTAAACAACATAGCCAATAGCTTGCTCAGTGTCTGTGAGACAGATAAGGAGGTTGTTACAGATGAGAATAAATCACTGATCCAGAAGGTGGACATGGTCACTGAACAACTTCACAGTAAGAAATTCACCCTGGAGAATATGGCTCAGAAGTTTAAGGAATTTCAAGAAGTTTCCAAAGAAGCTCACAGGCAGCTTCAGTGTGCAAAGGAACAGCTGGACATCCATGATTCCCTAGGACCCCAGGCGTGCAGTAACAAAAACCTGACCATGCTGCAGACCCAGCAGAAATCACTTCAGACCTTGAAGCCTCAGGTAGAACTGGCCCAAAGACTCGCACAGGACCTTGTGCTAGAAACCTCAGACTCAAAGGGAACCTCCGACATTTTATTACAAGCAGAAACGTTAGCACAAGAACATAGTACAATAAGTCAGCAAGTTGATGAGAAGTGTTCGTTCTTAGAAACCAAGCTGCAAGGCATTGGGCATTTCCAGAATACCATCCGAGAAATGTTTTCTCAGTTTGCAGAGTTTGATGATGAACTCGATAGCATGGCTCCAGTGGGGAGAGACGTAGAAACTTTGCAAAAGCAAAAGGAGGCTATAACAGCCTTTCTGAAGAAGCTGGAAGCCCTCATAGCAAGCAATGACAATGCCAATAAAACCTGCAAGATGATGCTGGCCACGGGAGAAACGTCTCCTGACCTCATTGGAATCAGAAGGGACTTGGAGGCTTTGAGTAAACAATGCAACAAGTTACTGGATAGAGCCCAAGCCAGAGGGGAGCAGGTTGAAGGGACAATTGAGCGTCTTGAAGAATTCTACAGCAAATTGAAAGAGTTTTCTACGCTTCTCCAGCATGCTGAAGAACACGAGGAGTCACAAGGTCCTGTTGGTATGGAAACGGAGACAATTAATCAGCAGCTTAATGTCTTCAAGGTAGGGAACTCTTCATTTTTGCCAAGTGTTTTCATTGTAAAAGAAATTTCTACTTGTACAGAAAGGAGATTGCCTGTACTGTAGTACCTTCTAATATGACTGTCACATAGTATTTGAGCCTGAATAACTTTATATGGGGGCAACATCCAGGCATGTGGGGCAGTTTCATGCCTACTGGGGATTTCAGGCCTCAGGGGATAAGGCCTGAGATGTCTTCATGAGGGCTGAAGGGTGCTTGACCAGGTCCCAGGCCAGCCTGAAGCTGACATCACGGAGTCCAGGCCTGATGCCATTCACAGTGGCCAACTGCAGAGACCAGAGCTGTGCTTTGAATTCTGCAGATGTTTTTCTCCCAGCCTTTTTAAAAATCATGAATTATTTTCTTTTACTGCCCTTGCTCTTTACATAGTTCTTCTCAGCCTTCTTAATTTAATTTCTTCTACTGTCTTCTATAAATTTTTTTCTTCTAAAAGTTCATATTTTTAAAGGCATTGTAGAGTTCCATATCACAATCCTGGTTTCATAAAACAAAGATCTTGGGCTCATGCCCAGAATGTCAGGAGTGAATTATTTTTGATTGGATTGTGTAAGGAAATGTCTACCCTTGATAGCGCTCAGTGAGACTTGATGACTGGAACATTAGATGAAACTGGGGGGCCAGTTTCAGTGTCATCGTATTTAGCCTTATTTATGATAGTCAGAGCAGGAGCTGCATCTCTACAGAAGACAGAGATGGGTTCATCCGTGGAAACAGGGGGTCCTAAATACCAAGCATTCAAATGCATAGAAGTGGTGTAAACCTTTGGGGTTGCCAAGTCCCCTGTTCTGTTTATAAGTTGTGTTTTACCAGTGGAGGCATACTGTAACATTAGACCAAATAAAAGTAGAATTTGTGTTTTTTAATACTTCTTATATGTTCTTTTTCTTAGAGATATCCATGGTTAGCACTTTTTTTTTTTAATGTCAGAATGTTAGGGGCACATGGTTTATTTACATACTTTGTTTTTGTACAGATTGAGTCAAAGTTGTACATATCCATGTGCTCTTCACCCAGTGTGCACTGTACCTGATGGGTGTGAACTTGCCCGTCCTCTCCTCCTCCTTCCCCCAGCTTGATTTTCACTGATAATTACTTCCATATGTTTACTCAAGGATCCACCCTCGTTAGCCTCCCCAAGTGCTAGAATTACAGGTGTAAGCCACCATGCCCAGCCTAGATCTTGATTTTTGAAGATGAAGGAAACTCCATTTCTGACTTGTAAAATAAAAATTTCTCATAAGCGAATCCTCTATTAGAAAAATGCAGTTATGTGGCAATCGTTGCTTCAAAGTGAGATCTTGGGAGTGACACCTCCTCCATCAATAAAGTTTGAAATTTTCTATAGAACCCCGACGATCTAAAGCGTAAATGACAGTAACCAACCAGTCTTTGTACTGATACTGATGCAACTTAATCATGTTAAGTGCTTCTGTGACGTACTATGATTTCTCCAGGTTTTCTGTGAATTTATGTAGAGAAAAGAGTAGGTCTTCGTTCCTCTTCACTGCTTTGCCTACTTGTGAGAAAATGGGGAGAGTAATAAAGTTGGTGCTGCTGGTCCTGGATACCTTCCACTTTGTGTACAGGGAAGAAAATGGGGCTCTTGGGGGTGGGGTTGAAAGTAAGAGAAGGCAGGATGGGAGGCGCTTTCTCCACTTTGCATGGAGAGTGTCTTGCAAACTAAAAAGCACCAAATAAGCAACGTTCCCATTAATAGTAACAGACATCTCTTATTTGATTGTGAAGAAAAATAGAGTGATCATTTCTGCTAAAATAAACCATTTAGCCTGCTGTGCGTGTTTGTCTGTTCTCTGATTATTTAGAAGGAGTCAATTGATTTCCTTGAAGTTCAGCAATATGAAAGAATATCATGACATACTTTCAGTGTTTTGAAACCCAGTGACTTAAAAATGTTTTCAAGTGGCGAAATCATCTGCCTTTAATATAGTCCACTGCCATGTCAAAAAAGAACAAGAATATGATGGACCTACACAACCAGTAATTCTGTTTATTTGTGTGTCTCTATTGTAAAAAAAAAAAAAAATAGTAATTGCAACAATTAACATTTATTGTGGGCTCACTGTGGGTCAGACACTATTATAAACTCTTCTAGCTTTAATCCTGTTAACAGTCATGACAGTGCATGCTATTCTTCCCCAAGAAACCAAGGCCCTGGGAGGGTAAGTGACTTGCCCAGGGTCACACAGGTAGTGTGTGTCAGGACCTGATGTTTTGATGGAAGTAATGCAATGCTTTGTGTCAACTTTATTTGTCCTGTGTCACATCTGATATTTTCTGGGGAATTTTCACTTCATCTTTGCTCTAGCCTAATTTGGGCAGGCTGAGTAAACAGCCAGTGTTCATTTTAATCCGAATCACCAAGGAATACCCACTTGAGGAAAGTATTCTGTCAAGCTGGTTGCTATGAGAAGTATGAGATAAACGTGGGTAGATCTGTGTTAGAAACTGATGGTATGTGGACGCAGTAGTATCGAGGGTGATGGTGACAGTCACTGCCACCGCTGCCCCTACTGAGATGGACGCGGTAGTATCGAGGGTGATGGTGACAGTCACTGCCACCGCTGCCCCTACTGAGATGGACACGGTAGTATCGAGGGTGATGGTGACAGTCACTGGCCACCGCTGCCCCTACTGAGATGGATGTGGTAGTATCGAGGGTGATGGTGACAGTCACTGCCACCGCTGCCCCTACTGAGATGGACGCGGTAGTATCGAGGGTGATGGTGACAGTCACGGCCACCGCTGCCCCTACTGAGATGGGACCAAACAGTTCATCATCTTAGAGATTATAACTTCCTTGATTAAAGCAGTAAGTTAAGTTGTTTACTTAATTCAGAACTTACTTTATTTTTTGTTTGGGCCTTAGCCGTTTGTTAAACTAAAAATGTAACATTTTAGAAAGTTTCTTAAAATTTTTTAAGTGGAATAATTTGTACTGAGTGAAAAGCTAGTTATAATTTCTAGCAGCGTAGCAGAAAAGAACAGTGAAGGGTTTATTTTCACTATTAACTTCAAAATATAATCCTTTTTGACATTAATCTATCTGGTAGCTTTAGTTTAACCTAATGTGACAGGTAAAATCCTATGATAAATTTTTTTAACACGAAAATAAACTGCCTTCTGAGCAGGACTGAACCTTAGTAATAGCTGTTACCTGGTTAGGGGTAGGAGGGCCACATATTGAGAGGGGGCATAAGAGATGATCTAAACCAGGTAAGACAGACTTCCCTAATTCCATTTTTTTCCCTACAATTTAACCTAAGAAACAGCAATTAATATTTAAGTTTCAGAAGGACAAAATTCATGTTTAAGATACCAATCCAAACATAATGATAAAAAGCAAATGCTATTCTGAACGAATGTCCTAACTCTTAGTGAAAACCGTTCTGCAGTTAGATGGGTGTTGTGTTAGTTTGAGTTGTTTCCTTTTTATTTTAACTATTTTGATTGTGTAAGTTCTGTTGCCCATACATCTTTCTACTTCTAAACACTAAGCTTTAGACTAACATGACTGAGGAGAGAAGTGTTTCTATGCTCTTGATAAGTCAGGGTATCAGCTTTCTACTTAACACTTCTCTAATTGTAATTTAATTAATTTAATTACAGTTAAATTCTGTGCACACTTACAAATTGGTGGATTGAATAGCAGAGTGATTCTGTGTCTCTCTAGTCAGGGGGAAAGAAAGCCCCTTTGGTGGTCTCGCTATCCTTGCCTCCTGTTCGAAGACACTTAATTCAAGAAAAAATTCAAATCTAAACTAGTTATTAAGTAATATTAATACGTCCACATTTTTATTTATCAAAGACATGTCTCTGACTCTGTATACAGGGAACCCATCTCAGTAATTTCCATGATGTCACTAACAGCCAATCAGGTCTTCTGATCATCATGAAGTAATCCTTATCACCATATTGAATTGATTTAATTTCAATAAAGATCAAAGAAACGTTATGTTTTCATGAATGCATGCAGTCACATCCTACTGATGTGTAGGATGTATCCAGCCCCACCTCTGTGTAAAAAAAAGTCTCATCTCAGAACCTGCTTACTGTTTACTTCTGGCCTCTCTTTTGCTCCCCCAATTGTAATTAATTTTGCCCCCACAGATGAACGTATCTCCAGTACAAGTCTTTGTGAACTGGAGATTTCTCGTTATTTTATTTTTCTATTACTGGGGAACCTGATTGCATTTGTTAGGTAAAGTCTCTTTTATAATTGTGTCCTGTCCCCAAGAGGTGTGTCACACCCTGTGACCCCCCTCCTTCCCTTTCCCTGTGCCCCCTTTCCCCCACCTCTCACCATGAACTAGGTCATCAATTGTCCTCATATCAGAATTGAGTACATAGGATTCTTGCTTCTCCATTCTTGTGATGGTTTACTATTTCTCCTTATTTTAATGGAGAAATCATGACGTAGAGATGGAGCTCGCATTACAAAGAGCAGAGGATTTTTAAGCCAAGTTAAAACCAGAGACAGAAACCAGAACCCATGCCTAATTATACTGTAATAAATTTTCTCTGGTTCAGGTAAAGGCATTGTTTAATCCGGGTGTCATTATTTGAATATTGGGTAAGCTAAAATGCCAAGTTTTATGGGGCTGTAGAAGCCATGCAGTTTGAACACAGATTTCTCATTTAGGTATTTATTAAATGAACAAATACGGTGTGATGTCACCACATTTTAAAGATAAACTATTTAAAGAATGTTTTAATAGTAGTTTTTAAGTATATTCATGTTATATAGAGGTCAGTGATGAATTGTTCTCCATTTTTTTGACAACAGGGGAAACTTAGATAAAGCCGTTGTTACCTTGCTGTTAAGAGTTAGAGCTGATGTGCTGTGTGGTATTATGAAGGCCTCATATTCTCATCCACACAAACTAGGCATAACAGATGGATGCCCCTTTCCCTATATTACACAAAGAATATACCATGCTTC